AAATGAGAATAATTTCTCCTGTAAAATCTAAGACACTTATTCGCAGAGAAGCAAGCATAAAAAATAATAATATAGAATAGGTTCATCTGTGCAGTTATCAACAAAAGAATTAAAATGGAGATATTGGAAATGGTTTTAGAGTTTCAAAAGACGAACAGTAAGTAAAAGTTGTAAAAAGGAACTGAAACTTGAAACACTGAAATGCAACTCGTCGCACTTTGTTATCAACCTACTGCAAGCTATAAATTCATTTCGTATAGAAAATATAGGAAACCCTAAGGAATGTAATCGTATTTTTAAGTATTTTTAAGCATTGTGATAGATAACATTTTATTTTTCTATATTTTTAATTTTTAACTGTAAAACAATGTTTATTATGATAATACCACTTAATTTGTTTATAACAAAAAACAAAAAATGTTTCCTGAGGTAAAACCAAATATAAGAAAATTGAAATGTTAGTCAATATTTTTAAATGGAATGGTATTAACTCGAAACAAAAACGGTAAGTGCATTATTACTTTACTACGAAACACTATACAACAAGAAAAATGTCAATAAAATTGGAGTGATGTTCAAAGTCTCAGGCAATCGGATTGACTTGACGTGGACTCCCTCGTATTTAATGTGAAATAATTTGTAAACCCTGATTTCTATTGCCATACAATGTGTTACCCAAATCGTTAATTTTATGGCTCAACGGTGTCCCCGAGTAGTTGGAATTTTTATATAAGCTATTGTATGAACAGTTTTTGTATTTTGAGCAACGCATTTCACTTTATTTTGGTTATTATATGATTTATTTTATTAATACTGATCATGTTACTTAATTCGAAGACAATATATTCATAGTCACTGAAAATGTAACACACTTAAGTCCCATAAACTTAAATGATCACTAGCTTGTATTTCGAAATCGAATCGCAATGAATTATGTTTTAACCCGAAATTCTCTATGAAATGAAAATTACAAGCACATGGCAAAACAACCCGAATACCAACCCAACGAAAAAACACGAATCAGTCGAAATGCGTTAAAATGCGTGTGCTTTGTCACTCTTGGTCACACTTGTCCGAGCTTTTTGCTGCGACACGTTTGCTGCTATTCGAACTAAAACAACGCGCTATGACTGCATCTCCACGCGAACAAAACGCAAATGGATTCCACGCGCTCTTGAACCGTCATGAACACCTGCTGGGGAAATCGCCACACGCAGCGCTTTGTGGCATGACAGCGTCGCTCCGATTCCCCGCAACAAACGCCGGAAAAGCGCGCGGGCCAAGAGTCCCAGTGACAAAAACTACGCGCGCGCGCGCACCCGCCCATCGCGCCGTGAAATGATAATCCACATTATGAAAATCTGCAACATTTACGACGAACGGGTTTTGCGGCAAAACGCTGAATGTTCAAATTTTGACTCCAGTCACGATCCATAAGGTTCCCGAGCTTAACTAAAGTTGACGGGCTAAAATGGCAAAAATGGTAAGTAAATATATAGAGATTTTTATTTCAATATTTTAGTTTCCCGCGTTTAAGACGGAACTTCTGACGAAGTGAAAGCTATGTAGAGCTGCGCAAAAAAACGGTGAATTTTCAGTACAAACATTCTGATTTCCGGGCCCTGGCAACGAAAAATTTGATAAATTCAGTTGTTAAATTTAGAAATAAATCTATTACATGGTGTAGCCAGAATCAATGTCTTAAGGGTCCTTGACACCGAAAAATCGATTGACGGCAAAATGTCCGGTTGGTTAGCTAGCGGCTTAACCATTCAGGATATTTTCTCCAAAATTGATATTCCCCAATAAATTTGGTTGATATCGCGGCCTCTTGGATTCATATTTACATTTGCGGGGTACTTTATATGAAGCCCCTGGGACATTTGCAACATTTTCACAAAAAATGGCGACGTCGATGTTGATTAAATTTTGTCTTTTGGGTTGTTTAAAAGACGTTGAAGAGAATGATATTGGTCTCGTATTGATTGAAAACACTAATTTTTCGAAAATTGACAAATTCAAAGTTTTTCCGACGTCTCCTTACAACAATTATGAAGATACATTTTCTTTTATTAATGAAATGTGTTAATCAAAAACAGATCTTCAAATATGGTCGTGTTGTTTTTCGAAAATATTAGTATTGTTTGAGTATTTGGGCCTCAAAGTTAAACGCCCGCTCTGAAAAACGTGCGCTTCTTGATATTAATTTTAGAGGCATTTTGAGACAGTTGGATGCAACCTAGGTTAGGCTGTGTAAATTATTTCATATTTAATATTTATTTATACATTTCTTACATCTTTTTTTATAAATTTAAGTTTAAAAATAAGTTTAATTAGTTTAATTATAAGTTTAAAAATTCATCTACTAGAAATTATTTAAAACCTATTTGAAATACGTAAGAAATAAAGATTGCTAGACTTCATTCGCCCGCTCCCAATTTACGCAGTTGGATGCTACGTAAGATAGAATTTGTGTAATATTTCATATTTAATTTCATTATTATTTATTATATTTGTGTTGTATGTATGTTATTTCGTTTTAAATAGAATTATTTAATTGCGTGAAAACGAATAGATCAGCGGTCATTGTGGATTGTTGTACGAACGCCGCGCAGGTAGCAGAATGCGATAATGACGGCTACCTTTCGTTCGCGGTCAAATAAACTAATACTTTTATATATTTGTAGAATATTATAATACCATAGTGTTTAATAATTACTGTTACATATTTTTCGATCGATTTGCATCAGTTCAACAACGCTATCAGTAACGTATTATTTATTAACTTTTAACTATTGTACTTTCTCGCATACTGCTTATTTTTCGCACCATGTATACTACGATTTCTAGTTAGTTTTCAAAACATGATGACTGAGATGTTAATTCGGAGAGAAATTGTGATATAAATAGTATTACGTAGCCATTACTACTAGCGAAAAAGTACGTGCTGTATAACTAGTTTTATAGTGGTACAGAAAATTTCATTTAATGTATTGAATGCAATTTTTAATTAAGACATAATTAAAATGTACACATTGCAGAATGCGAGTGTTTCCGAATATTAATGTACGTGCGGAAGAACTGTCTTACCCACAGGGATTTCACATTTACACCCTAAGCAATACTTTTAGCTCTTTCAACTCTACAAAGAAATTTAACACTAAACTTTTAAATATTTATAAAAGAAGTAAGTCATTTTATAAAATGCAAATGTTTGAATGTGTTATTTCTGGCACATTCAATTAATATTTATGTGGGCAATCCAATGTAACGCATGTTATATCACTTATAGCGAGAATCATAATTGCGTATCAGTCGAAAGAAAATCAAGAGGCACATTACGATAAAATCCTTGAAGTGTTTTTCCAGTCTTTGTTTCTAAGCGAATACCTGTAGCGAACAATAATTCAGGAATTTCTCAAGAGAGCTTATCTCTATTGATGAAGTCGACAAGGAGTACTCAGTGGTTCGTCAGTCATTCTTCATCATGCTGAGATTCGCAACGTTCATCTGTTTGGTTGCCTGCGCTCTGGGTACGTGTTTTATTAGTTACTTCGCTTCTAATAATGTTAATATGATTAATTTAAATGTTAAATGTTATAATAATGCATTTTGCTTTTAGAAATGACATTAACTGTCATTCGCAAAGTGGTTTACTGATATTAGTTTTATATTGTATAGATTATTTCGCCTTGTATTGTTTTTGATTTGTGTGGGTTTGAGAGCGTTGCGTCTTAAATGTAAAGCATACTAAGATTTATTAATTAATGATCGTTATGTAATTGAAGTACCTCATATTGATGCACATGTGTAAAGTTTTCAATATTTTAGGATTCTCGAGAAAGCAAAATTAACTTTTTGACTTAGCATTATTGCTGATAAAAACGCGTGTTTCAAATAAAATGCTTATTTAGAAAAATATGGTTTTGTTTATTCCTGAGTTCTAGAAACCAGAAAATATTTATTCACAAAATGAGAATTTCCCAATAAAAATTCAGACAAAAAAATATTCGGGAGGGCAAGGAAGGTCGTTTCGCAACGAAAAAAATTGTATAACTACTCGATTTATTCGCAAAATAAAAAAATTCATAATATATTAATAATGTATTGATTAATAACTTTTATAGGTGAATCATATCAAAACTATTTCCATGAAATATTTTGAGAAATAATGAACTCGAAGTTATTTAATTATTCGAATAGAAAGAAAAGAGTCTGGAAATTGAACACTCGAATTGTGGAATGATAATTAGATCATAAGAATGTGATAAATGAGTACATCAAGTTTGACTACATGTTTCTGTTTTATCATATTATGACTTCCTCACTGCCAGCATTAGATCACTAAAAAAAACATTCTGCCAATAAATATGTTTGCTTAAACCACGAAGGAAAGAGAAGGGTGAGCTACTCGGGCGCACCGATTTTTGCTCCTTCTGCGCAGCATCTGGTCGCGTCACGAACCACGTGACCCCAACACGGGAGCTTCGTTTGAAAACGCAGACTAGACGCTCGCCGCCATGTTGCATGGAGAGCGAGTAGTGTTGAATTTTGAAAGTGGCATAAAGTGGCAATTTTCAACGGTGACCAACCAAAAATAACACGATGAAGGTGTAATTGAAATATAAGGCGCATTTATTTCAATGGCTTATAACAAGGTGATAATTTTGGAACTTGACTGCATTCAAAATTGTCGCTAATATTGTGACGCAAACTGATGTCTGAAGCTCAGTGGCTGAAGTCGGCGCCGTAGCTCGCTCATATCTTTCCACCAAGGCTTGGACTACTCTTTCTTTCCAGTAACTTACAAATTTTCATTCGAATTTTTTTAATATAAATGGATTATTTTATTAATTTGTGGGATTAAGTTAATATTTTTAAACATTTTTTATTACATTTGTGCCAGAGTAACGTTTCTGCAAATCTTTAGTAGGGTTTGATCCAACCCGTGTGGTACCTTGCCCGGGTGTTCTCCCGTGAGTGCTGTGTGTTGAGTTGAGTGGCTGTGTTGCGCAGCGGCGGCCCCGCGTGGCCTGCTGCGGCGTCGGCCGCTGCTGGACCAGCGCATCGTGGGCGGGCAGGCCGTGGCCATCGAGGACTTCCCCTACCAGCTGTCGCTCGAGTTCTTCTTCTTGCACAGCTGCGGCGCCTCCGTCATCAGCCCCAACTGGGCCATCACAGCCGCGCACTGCACCGACGGGTGAGCGCCCCCTCCCCCTCCCCCCTCCCTTCCCCTCCCCCTCCTCCCACACACTCGCCTCCGTCGACTCGCGTTTCCGGTTGCCATTTGCTTGCCAAAGAAACGGACGCATTGCAACAAGTCAATTGATTTTCATTCTACTTACGCAGTATAAAGTATTGTGATGCTGCTGCAAAAAACGGCGGGCTTAACAGAAAACTGTTCGTTTTTTTTTTATTCCTGATAGCCAAAAAACCACTTGACTAATTTTGTTTCCTATATGAAATATGTTAACTTGCCTTTTGCGTTAGCAACAGAATTTAACATATTTTGTAGAACCTTGATTTCGCAAAGTTGGGTTTACGACAACTCGCCTGTCTGTTAAGTGAACAACACTAGCGGCTTAACAGAATGTTAGCACAGCCAGCAAGCATTGTAGAATTTTCCACTAAACCGTGATTAATACATCTCGGTCGATACCGGTTTATGTTGCAAAACTCCTTTGAATTGGAAACTTATTTATGGTTGGGAAATTGATTTTATATGAATCCTCAGACGAGACGATATTAGAAATCTCTCAGCTTGGTTCTTAAAAAGTCAGATATTTCTTTAAGTTATGGAGAGGGTAGCTCATGATACAATGAAGAAAAATATGGTGACCAATTTTTGCAGCCGCTTTGAAAGAAAGTCGTTCTCCAAAGGCGAAAATTTGGATAAGTTGTCAGATTTTACTAAAGATGTCAATAAGCATGGTTGAATATAAAATCTTACTCCGGGTGGCAACCAGCTCCTTAACAAGCAGATCTAGGACTTGTCGGTGCCTCTATAATACTTTGCGCAAAATGTAGTAGTTTCTGAATTTAAAGCCAAACACAAATATCTGTATTTTTATCATTATTATTTTTATTATTATTTTATATTAAATTGATTGTTGCTATATATTAATTTTTAGTCGCCAATTGCCCGTACTCGAAACCACGCAGGCCATGCACTTGCCCTTTCGAGGCATTGTATTCTTTATCCCGTGCCAAATGCATGTGACTCATTTTTGGGACATGGAGCATTAAGCTGAATTCCCGATTTTTATCTCCCAGGGTTGCTGTCCGGGTGGAGAAAAGATGAATTATCATAATAATGAAGAATGAAGTGAATACCCAAATAGTCATACACAGAAACACAACCATGCCCGAGGCGGGATTCGAAAATTACGATCCTGGCGATCTGTGCTATCCAGACTGGCTGTTTTATTATTATTATTATTATTATTATTATTATTAATATTATTGTTGTTGTGTGTTGTTGTTTTCCTTTTATTTTTTCATTTCATTGTACATTTAAATGGATTATTGTACAGAATTACAAAATAAGCAACAATTACATCTATATTTTAAAGAATCATAGTAGATCATTTCCCATGAATTTTTCGGATTATCGTTTTGTTGAGATAATTACTGCTTTTCGATGCACACGTTTGTACATGTCTTCAATTCCCAAACCTAGCTGCATGATGATCCGCATTAGACACTTTTAGGGGGACTCCGCGTGCCTTGAAACAATTTATCGGGGACGATGTTAACTCTTTTCATATTCCACATGTTCCTTAGGCTTCCTTTCAACAAGATATACATATTTTTACTCATTTTTATTATTATTATTATTATATTATTATTTATTATTTTATTATTTATTATTATTATTATTATTATTATTATTATTATTATATTATTGGCGTTAATAGGCATTACTGAACCATGCTATACGATTGAAACGTGTTGTTGATTCCTTCCAGGATCAGCTGTTTCAGCTGCATCCTTGGATTTACAACAAGGTTTGTTGATGCCATGAAAGTGTGGATTATGAGATGATAGGAGGATTGAATTGATAGGTGAAGGGGACATCACAAATATGGACCCTGTTTACGCAGGCTCTAACCTGCAGCCTCCACGGCGCAGACGACGGCTTGCCCAATCCATCTGCGCCACGGGGCCGGACTTACTCATTTTATTATTATTTATCTTTTAGATTCGCCATTTGGTTGGTACATTTTAAATGAATTATTGTACAGATTTACAAAAATCAAAAAGCACAATTACATCTATTATGAAGAGTCATAGCTACATCATTATTTATATTCATTATTATCATTATTATCATTATTATCATTATCATTATTATCATGATTATCATTCATTGTCATTATTATCATTATTTATCATTATTATATTATCATCATTATTTATCACCCCCTTTATTATCGATTATCCATTATTCATTATCATCATCAGTATCAGTTATCATCATTATTTATCATTATCATTCGGGTGGCTAATGCATTGTGCGGGTGCGCATGCGCAGGTCCTTCGCGTTCATGCTGCGCCTGCGCGCCGGCAGCACCACCAAGGGCAGCGGCGGCTCCACCCACGCCGTGCGCCGCTTCCGCGAGCACCCGGCCTTCGACTTCTACACCATCGACAACGACGTCAGCGTCCTGCAGGTGAGCGCACCCCACGACGCTACCGGCCTCGCGGACGGGCGCCGCAGTAATTAATTATTTGCCTTATCGCGGCTCGGCGCTTTAGACGCCGGGGTGGAAGTTTGAGCGATTTTGAGGCCCCCCCGAACGAGATCGGATATCGATCGGAGGAGTACAAGAGGGAAGGAGATTAATATAGTTTGGGGGGAGTTGAAAGTTTATGAAGGTTTAGAAAGAACAACATAGGCGCCTTTGGACTAAAGAATAATGCATTATTTCTTGATATATTTAATACACATTTAATATTCCTCGCAAATTTCCATTCTAATATTTTGTTTTGTGAGGCTATTAGCATGACATTTTTCAATATGTGTTTTATATTGGAGTCTGGCAAATGAACTTCATTTAGATAAACCTGAATAAACCATTGTTGAGAGCAAATTCAAATGTAGGGTATACTTTATAAGAACTTACAATCATTAGGCGGAAATGTGTTGTGTATAAAAGTTATAGCAAGTCCCTATAATACTCGTATCTTTCACAAAACTACACTAGTATCATAAATAAGAAATCTAAATTGTTCACTTATATAATTCAGTGTATATTACTCACTTCAGTAGAAGCCGATAGTACATTGATTCTCGAGTATATTCACTGCCGTGATACGAATCAATTGGGCATATTCCGTTTTACCCGTCCGGAAAAATACAAGGGTCTCAAGTTAACTGGCGCCTAGAACTATCACAGACGAAATCTATTGGTTCCTGATTTTCCCTCGGGATGAGTGTCCGCAGTTGCATATATCTTCGAGGTCCGCGAGTGTAGACCGTTCCAAGAACGGTTCTTCGCTAAATAGGTATTGATACCACTCGCCAGACAAAATTGATTCTCGCTCGAACAAAGGCGAGCAACGGATGGACACTGAACGGAAACCCAAGTCGTAGTAACAGGGGTCAGGGGAAACTGCGCATTGAACGCGACTTTACGAAAAGGTTGAACAAAAGACGCGCAAACAAGGTTCAAGTATCGTATTCTGACCGGCACCGGTGTCTCAAGGCATCAACTGATGACTCTGCAGTGATTCTGATCGAGCGAACCTAGGGTTTAAGACAACGGTTACTGAATTTTCGAAAACTAACTAGATAGCTAGAATAGACAGCGAATTCAGCCGCTGTCTGGAGGAGAATTTTAGCTGCCGGCAACTCTGGATATTAGTTTTTTGTGGTTTCTCCGATCAATACCAGGCGAATGCCGGAGACAAGCTGTGCCTCCCAAAGACAAAGCCGAAATTTTTTAAATAAATGCAATTGTTGCCCTAGTGTTAATATCATTAAGTTTTCTAAAAATCATTCAACTTCCACAGAAGACATGTTATTTTTTACATACTCAAAAGTTATCTTTTGAGGAATTGTTATCTTTTTTTAACAACATTGTAGTTATAGATAATAGTCAAGATAGATTTTCTGCAACATATAACACACACGTCCAATCGAATTTTAAAAAAAAATGAAAAATCTTAGAAAACACAAACAATTTACTGTTTGAGTGATTGATTGATTAAGGTGGCCGTCACCTTAACTACTAAGGGCATTATTTCTGTAAGTGTATAGCATGCTTTTATCGCGAGAGATGGCGGTAATTTTCTCCCGCTGGATAGAGAGATCCAGAGTCAGCCACTTTACATTCAGGTAGCGGAGTTTTCCCCAATAAGGTATCTCTCCCCAGTGGGACCACCGCCCTAGCAAGAACAAGCTCCAAAGCTTCCGACAGGTCTCCCGACTGGTGTGGTAATGTAGTGGATGCAAGTGTAAGTGCGTAAGTAAAAGGTGAGGACAGGACAAGGTAGAGGAAGGAAAGATCGCGCGCGGTCCGTGGTTCGTTTGTTAGGCTCCGGCTGCTCCGGCATTTGCCTTTTGTTACAGTAAACTACTATCAGAGCCTCTAAATTTCTCCCCCAGAGCGGCTGAATTCGATCCAGCTATGTAGCTAGAGTCGAAAATTCTTACTGCCTGATCAAATAACCGAGCTCGTCGTAAAGGCAATCAAATAACTGGGCACGTAATAAAGTAGAGGAATGGAACAGCAAATCCATGTATTGCAGATCTAATCTATACACAAAGAAAACAAGAAGATTCAAGGGAAACTAATAATGTATTGCTGCCTTGAGAAATCTGAATCTCTTACCCGAGATTGTCAAGAAAAATCTGATTTCGTTATGATAACGTCTTAGAGGCATGGCACTAAAATACTTTCTTGTATTTTGGAAATGACTGATAAATATATCACGCTCACAGTGTAAGTGGCATCCTCACGTAGCCTGTACTTTTTGAGATAGAAGGATTCTGTCATAATGTAGATACCATTTCATCTTCCGATTTCGGTGGACCAAATACACATACGCACCCGCACATTCACATACAAGGAGATAATCAGTTAATCATATTGATTTACGTATTAAACAATGTGTGCAGCAAAGAAGAATTACCAGTAGGATCAGATAACCAACAAAATATGTGCTAGAGTCGCACATGGATTTCTCTACAGTATACCCA